GGGTTTTGGATTTAGGGTTTTAGGGTTTAGGGTTTAGGGTTTCGGGTTTAGGGTTTAGGGTTTTAGGGTTTTAGGGTTTAGGGTTTGGGGTTTAGGGTTTAGGGTTTAGGGTTTTAGGGTTTAGGTTGAGGCTTTATATAGGGCTTAGGGTGTGAACGCAGTTTTGCTTCATCCTTAGGTCTGACACACAAACAACAAGCCCGAAGCACAGGACCCAACAACTTGAGCCTCAAGCCCTGATTGCCTCTAATACCTACAGTTCCCATACTTAAAGGAAACTACAGGTTGGGAGTTCAGGGTATATAGGGCTTCTATAAGGCTTCCACAAGGTATATAGGCCTTCTACGAGGCTCCTAAAATGGTAACTACCCACCTGAAAAAGTCCTAGACATACAGGGTCCTTAAGAGCCATTTCAGGAACTCCAATCTCCATTTAACCCTAACTAAGCCCAAATGTAGGCGCCTTAACAGTTGGAATAGGTTTTTTTGGGGGGGTTCCTTATTGTAATTATAGTCTAAGATACCCCAAACCCTATTCTGATCATTAAGGCCCCTATATTACCTAAACCAAACCCTAACAGCATGGAGTACCTCTTAGCTCTGAAACAATTGAAAAAATCCGTAAACCCCTAGGAAGCACCTTTAAAACAGACCAAACCAACACAGAATCCAAAAAAAACCTAAACCGCCTAAACCCCCCTAAAGCCCCCTAAACCCCCTAAACCCCCTAAACCCCCCTAAATCCTAAAATCCCGCCCCAACCCCAAAGCTTCCAAAGCGCAGGCTCGGTGGCTTCTGGAGATCCTCCGCGCCGAACGAGGGGGCCTCGCGGCGCTAGGAGCCCACTGCCCCTAGGGGTCCAAAGGACCCAATATTTCCGTACTTTGGGGTTTAGGGTTTAGGGTTTAGGGTTACGGATAGTAGTTATCTAGGTTTATAGTCGGGAGACTCAGATTTTAAGGCTTCTGGGTCCAAAAACCATACTATATAGGGCTTGTGGGCTATTTGGGATTTAGGGTTTATAAGGGTTAAGCGCTCAGGGTGTAGAGTTTAGGGCTTAGAGTTTAGGGTCCTACGGTTTAGGGTATACAAGGGTTTGGGGGCCCTAGATTACAGGGGTCATGGGCTGCTATGGTGTAGGGGGCGGGCTACAGGCCACAGGTAGGGTTTAGGTCTTTCTCCATGGCACCAGTGCCCGCAACAAAGGCATCGGTCACGTGTATTGCTCTTACTATACAGGCAGCTATCACTGCGGACTAGGGTAGCGAAGTTGGGCCCTAGTATTTGCGTTTTAACGCCTGTTGCCAAAGTGGACTGACGCAACCTATGACCCCAACGGAGTAAACCCCTAAAACCCCCGACGCTTGACGGGAGCTATATGGGTAGCTTTCTGAATGAGGGTCCCTTTTTGGGTCCCCAATATAGTACGGCACCCTCATAAAAAGGACCCCCAAAGCGACCCTAATTTAGAGAACTACCCATATAATAAAGGAAGAAGCCAGCACCCCCCTTCAAGGAGCACTTCTTGATGAAGCCCTGCAGGCGGGTGTGGAAGCAGCCCCTGGACAAAAGAATACAGCTTGGTTTGCTAGATCCCTGAGTCGTCTCCTTTTAGGGTTTAGGGTTGTGGGTTTAGGGTTCTGGTTGTGCATTAATTCAGATTGCCATAAGGTTTTGCATACTTGGGAACCTACTTCCGGTGTGTATAGATTCCTGCCTCGAGTCTCCCGTTGCTTTGCAGCAAGGAATACGTGCTTGCGGGGTTTATAGGTTTTAGGGGTCTATGGGCTTTAGGAGTTTAGAGCTTCAGGGTTTACGGGTTTGGGGCTTAGGGGCCTAGGGTTTAGCGTGTACAAAGGTTTCAGGTCCAGAGCTCTGAGCTCTACGGCCGGGGTTTTAGGGTTTAGGGTTCAGGATTTATGGGTTTAGGGCTTTAGGACTCAGGATCTAATCTGGGGTTGAGGGTGCCTGAAGTACGAATGTCAAGAGATGCAGCTACGTTCTGCCCAGAGGCTCCAATGCCCCTTAATTAAGGAGTATACCTTAAATCATATTAGGCATCCTACTATACTTTACGGTATATTCCTGAAGTAAGGGATATTGGAGTCTCTAAGTATGGTTGACCTACTTGCAACCCTGCTTCCCTGGTGCCCGGATCCTGTAGGGGAGCCCAACAGCTATCCTGGGGGTTCCTGATTATAAGTATGTATCATATAGTATACGCCCAAACCCGAAACCCTAAACCCTATTCTAGTTATTAAGGCCCCTACATTCTAATGAGAGTATAGAGCCGGTATTACGGTCAAAATTGCATTCCTTACACTTTCCAGGAAGTCTAAAGAGCGACCTCTTCATAAGGGAGGATTTAGGGAATTAGGGTTTGGCTTTAGGGTTTTAGGGTTTAGGGTTTAGGGTTGAGTAAGTGTTTAGTCGCTCCCGAGATGGTGTTGGATTACCACGAGAAGGTAAGGCTACCTTGATTAATTCAGGTGCTTTGGAGGCTCAGGAGAGCGAGGTCCCATGTTTTTGGGTTGTTGATCGTAGGGCATTTGCATTCAGATTTGCAGGTCATTTTGCACAAGTGGTTTAGGCGTTTGAGAAGAGAGCATGATCGTCATATGAGAAGTTGGTGAAAACTGTTTTGCGGAATTTCCACTGTAGAGAGCACGCAGGCCAGCTGGATGTCTTGGCTTGTCTTGGGTTGTTGTTGCCAGTGTCCAGTGCTTGACCTCCCGTTCGTGTGGCCTACCACCCTAAACCCTAAACCCTACCAAACCCTAAACCCCACAGGTTGTGAGATTTGTTTCGTCACATAGGTTATGACCTAGCTTCGCACCTGCGGGATTAGCTTGCAGAGTTTGGGTTTAGGGTTTAGGGTTGCTTGCAGAGTTTGAACCCTTAGCGCTCAATGTCCTTGCTGTGGTTTTGCTTCCAGAAGCCTCACGCAGGGGTGATCTAAGGCATATTAGTAAAATGCGGGTTTCATGGGCGGTCGACACAAGGGTGTTGGTTTAGGCTCAGGGTCATCTACCCTACAGCCCCATTAAACCCCCTAAACCTCTAAACCCTAGACCCTAAACTCTAAACCCTAAAGCCCTAAACCCTAAACCCCCTAAAAACCCCTAAACCCCCTAAACCTCTAAACCCTAGACCCTAAACCCTAAACCCTAAAGCCCTAATTAAACCCTAAACCCCCTAAAAGCCCCTAAAGCCCCCCACGCCAATGCCTCAGAGTTCGAGGACCACGGCGTGTTCCGCTACCTGCTCTACGAGGCACTGAAGCTGCCAGACTTGGCCCAGGCTCGGTTATTACGTGTGCTATCGATCTTAGCACGATTGTTGGTATTATTTTTACGATTATTGTTATCAGTCGTATTAGTATTATTATTATTATTATTAATTATTATTATTATTATTATTATTACTATTATTATTATTATTACTACTGTGACTATTATTATTTATATTGTTCTATTATTGGTACTATTATTACTTTTGTTTGGGTTCCTTTTAAGGGTTCCTTTAAGGGTGTAGGCGCAGGGTATAAGGTCTCCTTGAGGGGGTTTGGGTTCAGGATTGCAGGATGGTTTAGGGTTCAGGGCTTCAGGGATTTAGGGTTTCAGGAGTTTGGGGGGTTCAGGTTTTAGGGTCCAGAGGTTTGGGCTTGACCTTAAAACCCTAACATCCAAAATCCTGAAGCTCTAAATCCTCTAAAGCTTGATGGGGAGTTTCCGAAATTAGGGGTACCTTATTTTGGGTTGGGTTCTCATAATTCAGGATCCTACTCTTTAGGGTACTATATTGGGGTCCCCTATTTTCGGAAACCCCCAAATGCTGCAACTGAAATCTGAACCTTCCGTTGAACCTCGAACCCCCGCAGCCTTTCTTGAGTTCTGGAGTTGGTTTTCCATTTCGCAGTTTCTGCGGTCTGTGCCCCCGCAAAACGAAATCTATGGGGGTTTAGGTACCCTGGTCCAGGGTATGGTGTTAGTGTTAGGGTGTACTTTTGGGTTCAGGGCTTAGGCTGTACCCTAAACCCTAAACACCAAACCCCTAAACCGTAAACCCCTAAACCCTACCGCAGGTCGCGATTTCTGGGTTATCAGAAGCCTGCGCACTCTAAGGGTTTAGGGCGTAGGGCGTAGGAGGGTTCCAAAAAATCAGACACGCTGTTCCCTGGGAGTCTTTAAGCACTCGAACTTCCCCCAAACTTTAGTCGACTTACAAAGGAGACGAACCTGAGGGGGTTCAGATGGTTCAGGTTTTGCTGCAAAGATCTGGATACTGGTTGCATGGGGCGCTATCGGGGCCGACGGGGTCACTATACTACTAACTAAGGGCTATACTGCAAACAATGGGCTGCACTACATTTGGCTTCCTTTCCGACGCCTTCGACTCGCGCTGCGAGGTGAGCAAGTGGTTCGACAAAGCCGTGCGGCACGGTGTCGTGCCGGAGACGCCCATCGTGAATCACATCATCGGCGAGGACCTTCCGGGCTTCCAAATCTCAGGGTTGAGGGTCTTGTTACGTATTCTTATTCGAAACTCTATCCTTGTTATGGTTGTAGAGAAAGCCTGTTAAACTTGTAGAGAACCCTACAACAGGACTCTAGGGCTTGATGGTGTAGATGTTCAAGGTTCTAGGCTCTGTGGTTTGGGGGTTTCTGGATTGTGGCTTTTGGGCTCCACGGTTCCAAATGCAAGAGCTGTCGACGGCCCACTTCTGCCCCTTTACAAGAAAGGTAGGAATTCAATCCTAAGCAGAACTCCTTGGCACGGAACTCAGTAGCATCATAAGCCCAGGACACCCCAAAGAGCGAGGGGGTAGTCCCAAAAAGTGTTGAAGCCCAACAGTCGATTTTCGATAATACAGTTCCTTCGGGTTCCTTGGGTTTAGGGTTTAGGGTTTAGGATCTACCTTATATGAAGCTTAGACCGAGTTTCAAATCCAGACAGTCGAAGCTTTAAACCCGAGGCCCTAAGCCAGCCTACCCTGAACCCCTCAGAGCCAAATCAGCGTGACCAAACCCGGAAAGAGATATCAGAAAGCCTGATCTGAAATCATAAGCGATCAAACCTTCGGGCATCGCAAACAGGGACCCAAAACCTCTACACCCCTTAAGCCCAAGTTGTAAACTCTATCCCCTTTCCCCTAAGTTCTTAGAGCATCTTTTACAGTTAATGCTAAACCCTAAAACCCAAAAGCCAAAAGCCTATAAACTTAAACCCGAAGTCTTAGTTGGTAATCTGATAATATTTATTGTATTTTGGTATGACTATTGCTGTTGTCATTAACATTGTTATTATCATTACTACTACGATTATCATTATTATTGTTAGTATTATTAATAGTAATATTATTGTGGCCGCTATTTCTTATTACAGCCCCAAACCCTAAGCCCTAAACCCTAAAGCCCTAAAGCCTAAAACCCTACACCCTGAACCCTAAACCCTAAACCCTAAACCTAAAACCCTAAACCTTAAACCTTAAACCTTAAACCCTCAAGCCCTAAAACCTAAACCCTAAAACCTACACCCTAAAACCTAGACAGCACCCGAAGCGCTCCGAGAGGTGTCAAAGGACTCCGGGCTCGCCGGAGCTGAGGTCCCCACTGAGCCGGGTGGGTCGTTCTCTAGAGTAGTAGGGTCTAGGGTTTAGGGTTTAGGGTTTAGGGTTCAGGGTTTAGGGTCGTTCTCTAGAGTAGCAGGGTCTAGGGTTCCCAGGGGTACTTAAAAATAATTTTTGATCTTTGGCTACCATACACCCTAAGAAGCAGCTAAAATTATACTTTGTGCTAGGGGTCTAAGTTCAGTATAGTCTAGAGTAGTAGGGTCTAGGG